GGTTAAGAATTCATCAGGTATTGAGGAGAAAGATAAAACAGTGCAGATAGCCTGCCCCTACCCTGACAGGGTTGCACAATACTGGTTTCTTCCAGATAAAAATTAACTCTGTGTGTGCACACTCTTGCCCCTCACACCCCCCTCAGTACTAAGCTGGTTGTTTCGGAACCAGGGTGGAAATACAGTAGAAATTAAGTATCTGGAACAAAATAATGGTAATTGTAGTGATTCAGCTTTTAAGAAAAAGGCTATCCAGTATGTATGTAATTTTCTTTATGCTGGAATTGTCTCATGAAATGCACATCTAGTGATTACCTCACACTTCACAAAACACAAAGTTATGCAGCTTTTCCCTGGGAGAAAAACCTGACACTTTCTTTTCAAAAAGTGGTGTTTTAGCCATGTCTAAAGATAGAAGGCAGGAATGGAGAGTGTGTGTGTATACATGTGCATTCATGTATATTTATCTTACTTCATCCAGGAATAGATTCTATCTTTTGCCTTCTTTAAAATTAATAATTAGAGTACTTAGGTCACTTAACAGACTAATATTAAGGTCTGCTCTGTTTTATTGCCTACATGTTTTTCCCATCATATATCTAGAAGAAAACATACTGTCTGAGTTTCTAATGACACAGCACTGCTTTTGCACAGAATTTGTCTGTATGAAGATTGTTACTTTTGAAGCTTTACGTTCCAGTGAAAGACTGTTTATAGTCCTTCCCTTTCTCTTGGACAGCTGTGGGTTCAGGTTAGCCTTCCTCTGAGACAGCTCCGTCTCTGTGTGCTCTTCCAATGTAGCTCGTGAGTTTCAGCTCTGTGCTGGGATTGACAGGGGAGTTGTACAGCACAGAGGAAATTGTCTCAAGCAGCTCCAGAGAAGTGAGGTTCTGGCTTTCACCATTCTTTTACTTTGCTCAGTAACTTCTTGGTATGTCATTTTATTCTCCTGTTTCAAAAGGGTGTTGTATAGCACAATTAATGTCTGCAAAGCATTTCAGGACGCTTGCAAAGCATCCATGGTACCTTCAGTTTATGTGAATAAATAATGTTCCTTTGGTATTAAATATCATGTGCCTGGGGGAATAGGAAGGTCCTCTGTTAATAGCTTCCCAGACTGAAGCTTTCTGTCACAGACCGTGTTTTCCTGCATAGCGTCAGTGGCATTACAAGGATCAGTGAGAAATAAGCATCTAATTGGAGGAAAAAAAATTCACAAATTCGTATGTAAATCAAGAGTCCCACCATGTTTTACAGGACCATGTGGACAGCTGGTATGTCAGGGAGGGCTCAAGGACTGTGTGTGTGAGTGCTAGGGGAGAGTTAGGCATTTTCAGTCATCACAAGAGGGGAAAAAACTATCTCTGAAGCTCATGGAAACTAAATAAATCACGCAAATTTCCTTTAGAAGTCTCACTGAAAGCAGGTTACGGGCATGGAAGAAAGTGCCACGACAGTATTGAAAAGTCGCTCAGATACCAGCAGGCTCCAAGAACAGGCTCTTAGAGATCCAGCAAGACTCAAGGTGTAATGAGTAATCAGTTTTTATTTCTAACCCCAAGTTGTAGGACAGCCGCACCTTGACGGGAGCAGCGAGGAGCAGGTGATAGTTGCCAATCCTCCTGATGTTTGCCAGGTAGTAGAGGTGACAACAGAAAGCGACGAACAGCCCCTCAGCATGAGCCAGCTGTATCCCCTACAGATCTCCCCAGTCTCGTCCTATGCAGGTAAGCATCCTGGAATTTCTTTACGCTCTTTTTTTTTTTTTTTCTTTTTCTAGAAGACACTGGTGGAGAAGGAAATCTTCCAGAGTAGCTGGCAAAGAGCCAGAAATGTCTATTTGTCTGCCTCCTGCATTTTTAATGAACTCAAAAGCTCTCAGTCGTCTACTCATTTCACCTAGAGAAACAACTTGACGGATCTGAGGTTAGAAATGTAGGCTGCAGGTTGTAGCCTGTGACTAACGGAAAAAGAACCTTTTTAGATGTAATGCAGAGAGGGAGAGGTCTTTTCATCTTTCATTAGAGTTGCATTTTTGGTGGTACAAATGATGTGCTCCAAATATAATGTGTCCCCCTTGCTCCTTGACTTAAGATTAGAGGTTTTCTCTGCTGTATGTTTCCTCAGTGCCTAACACAACAGGCACAGAGTGCACTAATGGTGTTATAACGCAGATGTGGAGCTGAGAGCCCTGGGGGAGTGGATCTGTCTTGTTACAAATAGTCTACAGACTAGAACAGCCGTGTGGCGACTGATAACAAGCGGTCCTGTGAGCAGCAGAGCTGTGGACGTCTGGCTTCCAACGTCTGACACCCATCTGGGTTCTCTGATATCTAAAGGGGGTGAGATAGCAAGCTTTTCCCCAAGTCAGGGTGCTGATGGTTTCTCTTTGTTGTCTGGCCCCTTATTTTCATAAAACTGGTAGGAAGTTAAGAGTCTTTGGCACTCAATTTATCCCTTATCCAAGTCTAACAGTGTGTTCAGAAGTTGTTAGGGGAGAACGGATGCAAATGCATACATGGGCACACTGTATAGAGTCTCTGCAATCATATAAGCCTTATTTCCGTAGGAAGCAGAGTAAAACCACATTTGAAAGTAGAAAAAGTTTCAGCTCCAACCTGTCTTTCCTTTTTTAATGTGTGGCTAACTTTAAAGCCTCAGGAAACTGGATAGAAACACAAATGTTGTCTTTTTAGGTAAACTTAAGTCTTAGTTGTTCCCTGTGTGGTTTGTTGTTTTTCACATGGTTTTTGCCTTTGATTCATTAGGCTGAAACTGCTTCCAGAGACGTTTTTATAAAATATGTATTTAGTAATTTTTATCTTTGGGTCTGGGTGAATAATATGGTGTTCTTTTGAATAGCCTCCAATGTTAGTCGCACACATGGTGATAAATGATTAGGCTTCCCAACATGTTTAGTCTGTAATGGCCAAAGCATGTAGAAGGGCTTTGCAAAGCATAAGGCAAGGGGATGAGGGTGCTTTAACTTATTAGCAGCTGGGAGACGAGGCCTTTGAAACATTTGTCCTCTTTCCAAATGCTTCTTGCAAAACTTTTCCCATTTACGTGAACACAACAATGATGCAAGCTACAGGATCTAAGTTCTTGGAACGCAAACAAAAGTCACTGTCTTGGTCTGGAAGTCGTGGTGCTTGCTTGGGTGAGGATGATAGAGGGGGGTGGTCTGGTGACAGGAGAACCACCCTGACATGAGCAAGTCGTGAACTGCCTCCACTAAAGTCAGTGCAGCGAGCCTGTATAAGGAAAATGAGGCATGACTGAAGTACTTCTCCTATCCCCTTATTTATCTTAGTATCCTGGTGGCCTTCAGCTGTGCTAACTCATACCAGAACCTGGTAGCCCGTAACTCAGGTAACACAGAGGTGATTTCATGCCACTGAAGACACTTTTGAATGCATCTCAAGGCAGCTCTTGATGATTCTGATTACTCTAGCTAGAGGACAGTAAGAAGTGGAATACTGCAAGGATCTGTCATGGGACAAGTCTTGTTTAATATATCAGTGAGCAGGTGTTGGAGTTCACATTTGTGAAGTTTACAGGTTAACACCAAATAAAGGACACCAGTCAGTATGCTTGAGGGCAGGGCCACCATCCAGAGAGACCTGGAGAGGTTGCAGGAATGTGCCGGCAAAAATATTAAGAAATTCGACAAGAATAAAAGCCAACAGATAGATTCCTGTGCCTGGGAAGGAAAAGCCCTTTGCAGCAATAGAGGCTGGGGCGGATGGGGTGGGTAGCAGCTCTGCAGGAAGGTGGGCAGTGGGATGACCGTGAGACAGTAGAGCACCCAGGCCACAGAGAAGGCCACCAGCTTTCAGGAGCATGGCCAGTAGATCTAGGGAAGTAATTAATCCCCCTGTACTCATCACTAATACTCCAGAAGCAGAGTAACTAGGTCCAGTCTTAAGCTGGGAAACTCAGCTTGAGGAAGATATAAACAGGAGCAAGTGCAGAGGAGGACTACCGAGATGATCAAGGGCTGGAGCACTCACTGTGTGAGGAGATGCTGAGGGACTGGGGCTTGTTCAACCTGGAGAAAAGATGATTTTGAGGACCTCATAGCAGCCTGCCCCTACCTGCAGGGGTGTTACTGAAAAGGCACAGCCAGGCTTTTCACAGTTGTGTGTGGTGGGACGATGATGAACAGCAGCATGAAGTGAAAGAAGAGAACTCGGTCCAGTTAGATATAAGAGAAAATGTCACCTTTTTCACAGGGTGTCACAAGGAGAGTCAGACAGTGGAGTAGGATGCCCAGAAAGGTTGTCTTCATCCTCAGAGATTTTCAACACCTGACTGGATAAGGCCCCCAGCAACCTGATCCAGCCCTGCTTTGAGTGAGAGGTTGGGCTTTAAATGTCCCAAGGTCCCTTCCAGCATAAATTGTTCTACGAACCTCTTTTTTTTAAAGCATGCGTTTGTCCTTGAGGCAGGAGTGAGGACAGGGATCTGTGGTTTGTTAGAACCCTGAAACTTGAGGGGCACTCTTATGGCTATTTTTGGCTTTGTCTTGCTCCATGCAAACCCGTACAGGAGAGCCACAGGACACCTGGCCCTGTGCTCATGGGTTTGCTGGGTAGAGCTGCATGCTCTATCAGGTGCTACTGCTGAATGGCAGGAAAGCTTGTGACCATTACAGCTGTGCAGGAACAGTTAGTTTAGCTCTTCTGAAACAATATCAAGAAAAAGTAGCCTGAGGTATCAGCTGTCCTACAAAAATCTGGTTTATTTCAAAAACCCCTGTAGTTCCTTTCTGAAGTTACGTGGAGAAATGATATGTGTGGCCCTTGTGAGTTTTCTGATATTTCCACTGACGTCTATGAAATCCTTTTTTTTTTTTTAGTACCAGGGCTGTTGTCAGCCTCCTCTTGTATTTGACACTGATTCAAATAACCTTCTAGATTGAAATAACCTAACTTTCCATACCCAAGTGACTAGCTTCCCTGGCTTGGCTAACTATAGTGCACTCTCTTGCTCAGCATTTTGTTATGTATAAACACCAAGGATGGATTCCTTTTCAGCTGCATCACTCTTTTTTTGTTGCCACATGTTTCTTCATGTCAAGGAGTATCTGTTTCTTGTCTGTGTGGATTCCTTCTATTGATTCTGTCTCCAGCGCTATTTCTCCTTTGCACAGATTAATTTTTGCCTCTCCTCTCCCCAGGATGGCTTAATTAGCCAGCTTAATCATATTGACACATCTCTCTTCACCTGGGCCGGTGAATGAGAAGCCCAGTGGCATGTTAACTTCATGGGGCTTCCCAGTTGGATTTAACATTTTGGGCTATTCCTCTGCTTGCTGCACTGGTGCAGGGGAGGTGCTGGCATTGGAGGTCATAGACTGGAGTAGCCCAGCTGGCTGCTTTCCTTTCTAAGAAGGACTTTGGGTGCTCGTTAGATCCTGAGGTCTTGAAAGAGCAATTTGCACCATTGGTTTACAGCCCTCTGCCTAAACCTAATGTGTAGGTGAGCCTTGAGAAGACAGACAAGGTGCTTCCATTTTCTCTGAAGACGTGCGGAGACACGATCGGTGAGGCACAGCCCGTGCACATGTAGCACTCAGGTCCAGTGGAGAGCGTGAGGTTGCTCTGTGGGAAGGCAGGGGAGTGGGTTTTGGTGGCAGGGGTGCAGGGGCTGTCTCCATGAGCCAAAATGTGTGATACAGAGTGGAGAGACTTGAGAGCTCTCTTGCCTGCTACGGTAACTCAGCACATTGTTCCTTTAACCTGATAGTTTCTGTATTCTTGTTGGTTTAGGGCATGGATGAGCCCTACCTGCCCAGCCCTGGGTGAGGTGAAAGTTGGAGAAAGACCCACTCTAAATGCTGTTGGTAGCCTGATAGATGCCTAGAGTTATCCTACCAGGAAACAGGACACTGGTTCAAAACCCCAAAAGCTGAAGGGGATGTGCAATCCAGGCCTTTGCTTTTCTGGGTGAGAGTCTGGGCACTGTGCGGCTGTGCTGAAGGCAGCAACCCTGGCTGCAGGCAGGTCCTGACAAGAGGGAGTTATTGCCTGTCTCACATGTATCTGAGGCACAGCACTCTCAGCCAGCCCATGGACCAGGAGCCTGACCCTCAGACACTGGGAGACCCGTGTTCAGACACACGTGGCCTTGAAAATACAGTCAAAAATTTCTGGATTTCAGGCTCCTCTACTGCTGCAGGAGGATAGCTGTCGTGCTGTAGCTGCACCCCCATGTGCTCACTCTGGTTGAAGTGGTGAGGATGAGGGAGGCTCTCTGTGGCCATGGGGGTCACAGGACAGGATACAGTAGTGTTTCTGCTTGCTTAAGTGGTGGGCGAAGGGTGCTTGGAGGGAGAGCTGAGCACGGGTGGCAAAAGCGAAACGAGGGCAAAGTATAATGACAATAATAAAGCAGCAGAAGTGACAACAAGCCCTTGAGGCGGCAGGCTGAGATAACAGTTCATGAAACAGAAACACACTTATCTCCTCCGGGGTAGGGTTTTTGCTGGTTTCATAGGGAGATAAAAATAAGGTTTTGGACAGAACTTTGCTCTTTGCCAGGCCTGCGGCTGCAAAGAGACGATGAGGGAGAGGGAGCATCCCCCACTTGCAGGAGGCTCTTCCCACTGCCCAGAACCACAAAATACTTCTTCCCTCTCCATTGCTGTCTTTTCCAGGATATAGCCATGTTAACTGTGATAACTGTGTGAATTTTCCCCAGTTGTTCAAAGCAGCTGGGCTATCTAGCCATTGGATTGCTGTTGCTGTGTTGGGGATGTCCATCCTTCTCAGCTGTTTTCTGATTGTTTGGCTTGACTGTTTACTTCCAGTTCTTGGAAGTGGATCACGCCTCTTGAGATGAATTTTGCTAATGTAGATGGAATAACATGACTTTCGTTTTTGTTTCTGTTTCGTTTGACAGAAAGTGAAACGACTGACAGCGTTCCAAGTGATGAAGAAAATGCAGAGGTAAGCATTTTCTGGATTTTTAGCACTTCAGAGCAAGGTCTTAAGAACAATGACCTGAGATATTCTTCCCCCTTCTCCATTTGCAACTCTGTCTGCCAGTGGAATATTCATTTTAATAACCGCTGGGGGAGAAAAACAAAACAGGAAGGTTCAAGAGAGATAGACATTTGGATAATTGTTGCAGAATCGATATCTCCACAAGTTCTTTCCTCTTCATCTGTCCAAACTACAAGGAGATGAATTTACGTGATAAGATAGTCTGGAGAGCCATCAACACTGCCAGCTAGTGTGTTAGTGTGATGCATTGACATTGCTGGGTAGTGAGTATTTTGTCTTTGGTGAAAGCATTCTCACTTTGTTTTCCTTAAATGACACCTGAACTCACACAATTGGAGGAAATGCTTGCACGTATGATAGAAATACAGCTTGAATGTTTGAGGTATGTGAGGCAAAAAGCTTCCCCAAGCCCAGTTGGGTATGGCTGGGCGAAAGGAATCTGTGGAGAAAATACCCACCCCATGAACGTTTTCCTGAGCTGCAACTATGCAAAAGCAGCACTTGCCTTTTCTTTTGAGTCTGTCATCAAGGACCAGACCTGTTGATCTTCATGAGTACTTGGAGGCCAGAGGCACTTGGGTGCCTTGTGCTTTGGCTTCATTTTTGTTGAAGGCCTCTTGGAAATCTCCTGCTGTGCACCCCAGAAAGCCCTCTGCATCCTCCCTCTTGGAGAACTGCAGGTTGTGCAGCTCTATAACAGCACAACTAACTCTTGGTTTTGTCTCTTGTGCCTTGGTTAGGGTGGAGTCCATATATAGACTGCCCAGCATGACTCCCCAAACCTCCTGTGACAGAATGTGCTGTTGTGCCATGTGTAATGGGGAAGGGACTGGATCATCATTGTTCTTGGCAAACCTCCTTGTGGTGGGGGACACACCAAGTGACAGTGGTTTTCCTGGCAGGATCACTTGTGTTGATTGTGTGGGTGACGCTGTTTGAGACGTCCTGGGTCTCTGTGCCTGCCTCTTGGCAGAAGGATGCTCTCTCTCATAACCATTTGGAGCTCTGAGTGTTTGGTCATGCGTGTTCGTTTTTGTCTCCTGTGTACTGGGAATAAGTACTTTATTTTCCATCAGAGGAGTGGGCAGACCCTCTTGAGTGCTGGAGAGCCACCAAGGTTTAGGTACACAGCTTCAGCAAGCAAGAAGTGGCTGAGAACAAAGGAGTTCAGAGCCAGCAGCTAGATACTCAGACTTTTAGAGATGGGGTAATTTATGTGCAATTCATGGATGTTTCTGTCCTCATCTTGTTACATGGAGCACTTTGCAAAGTCGCATTCGCTCATACAGTGTTCCCTCCTTTTTTCCCCTGCCCTTTTTCTAGGGACGACTTCATTGGCAGAAGAAAAACATTGAAGGCAAACAGTATCTCAGCAATCTGGGAATGAGGAACACTTCTCATATGCTTCCCAGCATGGCAACTTTTGTAGCCAACAAGCCTGACCTCCAAGTCACCATCAAAGAAGAAAGCTGCCCACTGCCTTACAACAGCTCCTGGCCCCCTTTCCCAGACATCCCTCTGCCGCAGGTCATGTCCACAGCCTCCACAAGCAGCAGCCGGCCAGACCGCGAGACACGGGCCAGCGTCATCAAGAAAACGTCAGACATCACCCAGTCGAGAGTCAAGAGCTGCTAAGCCTTTGACAGTGTGGGATTTTTTAGCTTTGTTTTGTTTGGTTTTGTATTTTACGTTTCTCTAGGAGAGGTTCATCCCATGACGCACACAAGACAAATCGAAGGTAAAGCCTTGGCCATATAAAACATTGCTGTGTCCGGCTCCAGTGCTGGAGTGGTTTTAACTCAGGACTCCAGCCGTCAGTCTGTACACCTGAACCCTGGCGGATTTGCAAGGTTGTAGGCAAACAACCCAAGAACTTTGGCCCACTCACAGGTTCCAGTGTTTCATAAGAGGACCAACCCACCACAGGGGAAGTGGTGCTGCTCTGCTTCTCGCTGTCAAGGCTGTGATGGAACTGAAAGCCTCGGAATGGAAGAGAAAATGTGAACTAGCTGGAATATTTTTAAATAAAGAAAAATCTATTGTGAATATTGTACATAGTGCAGTACTAGCAACATTGCGGTCTGCTTCTGCACCTTATTAAGAAAGCACTTACGAAAGGCCTTTTATTACCTTGCTCTACTTAATGGCACATTGAAGGTCCCTCCCCATCTGTATTCTTTTCCAAGGCTATTCTTGCTAAAGTGTCTTTAAAGAATAGAGGAAAGGAAAGGAAGTTAAAGCTTCCCATGTGGATTTCATACATTTTAAGACTGCTTTTCTCATGTTTGTTTCTAATCTGCTATGCTTGAATGCCGCGTGGTACAATAGGAAAAAAAAAAAGAAACCTATTACAGAGATATTATGCAAATTCCCAGATTTAAAAAAAAGAAGAAGAAAAATACTCTAATTCTAACCAGAGCAAGCTTTTTTATTTTTTATACAGGGGAATATTTTATTCAAAGTAAAAATTCTAAAGTGAATATAATTTTTTTTAATCTTTTCTACAGCAAATTTATAATTTTAAGATTCAGTCCTTGGTTATCAGCAGTTATTACATCCTTGTGGCACATTTTTTTTTTTAATTTTGTAAAGGTGAAATAGCTTTTATGAGCTCATGTAGCAATCAGATTATCCTGTGGATTGATAATAAATATGGTATATAGTTAAATTTTTAATAATCCTCTTGTTTGTCTCTCTTTGTTAATCTTTCCGAAGCCCCAGATGGCATGGGTTTGATAGGTGAATGTGACCTCTCAGAGTGAGAAATTAGCGTGAGCCGCCTTTACCATTTCTGGAGTACCCATCTAAGAGGATATGAAGTACTGCGCTTGAGGTAGCTTGAGGTGGGGAAGAGGAACTAAAGCTTAAAGTTGGCTCCAGTGCTCAAGTTTGGCCTCACATGTGGAGGTTGAGAGTTGGAGTACCTCTTCTGCTGTTATTCCATGGTTGAGCTTTGAGCAGATCACCTCCTGGAAGGGATCTTATGAAAGTCAATCCCCTGTCTGGTGCCGTCTCAGCTGTACTTGCCTCATTCCTCCTAGATCTATGTTTAGCTTGCTTGCAGTTTTCGCGTCTGGAAAAATCTCTTTTTAACAAGTTTCTAGCAGTAACTCCTAATTAGTGGAATCAATCAGAAGTCAAGTAAACATTCCCCAAGGCTTTCAACATCTGCCAAGTTTTGATTCCTCCAAGTCTTTTGAGAGAAGCTGTCAAGTATCTTATTAAGGGTGCACAGAGGCTTGCAGGGTCGTGTGATGGTGATGGACAGGCTGTGCTATAGACTCAGTGAAGTGCTTTGGGCTGTCACTGGCATGGGCAGAAGTTGAGAGCGGTTGCCCTGTTCTGTTTTTTTTAAGTGGTTGGAAGTTGCACAGATTGATCCAAGTGTGTAAAATACATGGACACAGTGTCCTTCAGACACGATTGCCATTTGGATACCAACCTGACAGATAGCTGAAACAGGTGCCATGTATGTTGGGCTGATGAGCAGAAGCGTGCACAAAAAGGGCTGTATCACAGGGAAATGAGCTAACTAGTGGTTGAAAAGGCAAAGCAAACACCAGCATGTTGCTGTGTTCTTAACCTGATGCCACAATTCCAAATTTCATCACAAGTCCTCCTGAAACTTGCAGTTTTGTCGTGCGAACCCACTGCCTGGCAGCTTGGCAAGACAAGGTTAGAGCTTTGGTTAGGGTTGGGAGGAGGAGGAAGCCTCAAGCAGTATTTGAAATGAGGCTGAAAACTTGTAGTGGTTAAAATCCTCAAATGTAAACTATCTGACCTCTCTCCCTTTCATCTGGTTTTGCATTTCCCGTGGCCCTCTGGGTCCACAGGCCACAAGGTTTGGTCTTCCTCGAGGAGGTGAGGTCTAGTGTTACACTGAGTCTCTGGCATCCCAGGACCTTTGCCAGCAGGGTTATGAGACTCATGGCAGGTTTCTTTTTCTTGGTTTTGGGCCTCACTTGGAATTACATTTCTTAACACAATCTGCTTTATCTTTTAAAGTTTTTCCAGACTTCCCAGCTTTGTAGCATGTCCTAGCCCCTTTAAAGATGATGGGCTCTTTTTTGTTAGGAAGAGACCTCACAGGGTCACAGACAAGCTGAGGCTGGATCACATTGAGTCCAGACTTCTGCTGAAACCAGGATCTTGTTAAACCACATCTTGAATATTTCCAGCAAGGAAATTCTCTTCTAGACTTCATGAATCCATTTCTTCCAGCCTTTCTTCATGTGGCAAGTTCCCTGCCCTGCGGCTGGCCCTCAGGCTGGTGGGGTGG